ACAAGGGGATTAAAATCACGTACCTTCAATCGAACTGGGGATAGAGGAACTCCCAGGTAACGAATAGGGAACACCCCCGACCGAAAAGGTAAGCTATTACGAATAAGATTTTGAACCTCTAACCCCACATTCCCGAAAAACACTTCACTTTTTTCCAGACTCGGAGACAAACCTGATCGTTCTTCAAATAATTGGAGAGYACGCTTGATAACTTCCACCGAGGTAGTATCCCCCCGAGAAAAAATAAACAAATCATCCGCAAAGCATAAATTGGTCAACTTGATCTCAGCACATCCTTGATGGTACGCAAAATTTGCCTCCTCCTCAATACATTTTGAAAGAAGCATCGAAAGACCTTCCATAACCACAGTAAACAAGTAAGGAGATAAAGGATCCCCTTGTCGGAGGCCCCGCTTACCAAGAAAGAACCCCTCCGGTTGTCCATTAACACAGATGGAGAAAGAAGGCGAAGAGATTAGAGTCTTTATCCAGTTAATCATAACTGGATGAAAACCCATTCCCTTTAGCATCACTAACAGAAATTGCCAGTCAACTGTATCATAGGCTTTCCGAATGTCAATCTTAAACGCACATTTTGGTTCCCYTTCARATTTTTSATAACCAGCAACAAGTTCATGCGCCATTAAGATATTGTCCGTGATCTGACGCCCTAGGATGAACGCAGATTGGGCCCTGCTAACAAGAACATCCAAAGAGCCTTTTATTCGTTCAGCAATAATTTTACTGATATATTTCAGCAACACATTACAACAGGCAATTGGGCGAAAATCAGTAACACATGAAGCATTAGGAACCTTCGGGACGAGACAAAGAAGGGTATGGTTCAGCTGATATTCCAAAGTTCCAGAATAGAAAAAGTTATGTATCCCAATGAGAACGTCCTTACCCACCACGCTCCAACCGCTTTATAGAATTTTGACGAAAACCCATCAAGTCCTGGCGCCTTATCATTCCCAATATCAAACAGAGCATCCTTTATTTCCAAATCCGAAATCGGCCTGATTAAGTGTAAAGATTCCGATAACGAAAGAGATTGATCAAACGAGCAATCCACCATGGAGGGAGGAACCAGCATATTAGAAGTACCCAGAATTCCTTCAAAGTGATTAATAAAAGCTTTTGGAACATCCTGATGCTCAAAAACAGTACCAAAAGAATCCCTAATAGTAGCTATGGCTCCTATTACGCTTCTCTTTCATAGCATGGAAGAAGAACTTTGAGTTTCCATCACCTTCATTAAGCCAAGAGATCTTAGCTTTTTGTCGAACCATATCCTCTTGATCATTTCTAGCCTTTTGATATGCTAGTAAGAGGTGAGCAATATCCTCTATCAGCAAATCATTAAACGGGTCGAGATCACAAGCCAATTGAGCAACATCAAGCTCCGTCTTTAACTGAGCCACCCTTTTATCCAAACACCCATAAGAATTTATGAGCCGACGACAAACCCCTTTCATTTCTTGCAATTTCCGAATCAATCTTTTCATATATGAACCTCTCTGAGGTTTCATCCACACCCCCTCCACAGACTTAAGGAAATCCACATGAGAAGTAATAAAATTATCAAATTTAAAACCACGCTGACGAATACGTCTACCAACTTTAAAGGAAAGAATACCCGGAGAATGATCTGAGATCCCCCTTGGTTCAAAGAAAACCGAGGCGTCCCCAAATCGAGCAATAAAAGCAGAATTCCCCAAGATACGATCAAGTTTACGCATAATTCCATTACCCCCAGAAGGTTTCTGTATCCAGGTAAATTGGCATCCYYRATAYGAGATATCAAACAATTCTGCCTCTTCCAGACAAAGATGAAACTCCTCCATATCAGAATTGYGTCTAGAGGAGCCGCCCAAACCATCATGTGGAAAAAGCATAGAGTTGAAATCTCCCATTACAACCCAAGCTTTCCTTTGGACAAGAGCACTAAATTTACCAATATCTCTCYAAAGGTCACGTCTTTCCACTCCCGTATTACRCCCATAAACAAAGGAAATAAAAATTGGTTCAAGGTGACCAACAATCCTAATTTCACAATGCACATATTGAGAATGCTGCTCAATCATCATCAGGGATAACACAGAAGGATCCCAAGTGATAATATGCCGCGTTCCTTGGTCACACATTAACCCATTTGTGATCCAACTCCAATTACCAAAAACTCTACCACAAACTTCCCCCAGGTGACTATGAACAACTTTTGATTCAATAATGCAACATAAAGAAAGATGCTTTATATGGATTAAATCACGTAACTCTTTTTGCTTTATTAGGGCATTAAGACCCCTAATATTCCATGCTGCAAACTTTATCATTGAGACGTTGAAGTGTGAGTCTCCCCTCCTCGTTGTTCCATAGTATACCCCTCAGTATCAATGATCTCCATATSATCATCATCACTAGAGTCATCAGACGGTAAAGAAGAGAATCGATTACTAGTAGCCRTGGTACTGACAGCGYCTCTYCTTGGTTTGAAAGCATGGACCACCGTTTTGACAAGCTCCGGACCCCCCTTAGATRSAATTTGGACATTCGAAAAAACATCTTTCCCTTTTGGCGTCCTCCCAGCATCCACCGTACAAAACTGACTATCCTCCCTTTCCACACCCTTTCCATCCGAAATTTTAGAACCATCATGCCGTATAACATTAATGTCCTTATCAGGACCACCCGGGACAAGCAAAACCTCATTAGCCTGTTGTACAGAACCTACTCCAGTTAGGGTGTCTTTAGAAGCAGAAGCCGTACCTGAAGAAGAAGCTTGAGCATCAATACCAGATCCAGATTTTGACTTTGGCTTCCAATGTCTACGTCTAGGTTCTTGAAACCCCTCATTATGCGAAGGAAGAGCAGTAACCTTTGGCTTTTTAATTTCCCCTTTCAAACAGGACGACGTTCGATGACCAAAAACTTTGCATTTTGAACATTGGGAAGGAACCCAATCATATTCTAAAACCACATTAATCACATCCTCACCGGTGCCCGAAATCCTCGGAATAACAACCTCAATTTGCCGCTATATTTCACCCACGGCACAAACATCCACCAACACTTTAGCAAAATTCGTACGTCCCCAAGCTTTTATCACAAGTACTAGCCGTGCAAGCATCCAAACGCAAAGGAACACCAATAGCACTTGCAATACGACTAATACCCTCTCTATTGAAAGCAACAAAAGGGATATTATAGAACTTAATCCATAACGGGCAAGAAGTATGTTCAGGTTTCTGAAGACCCTTTGAGGGGTCCCATGTGGAGACAAAAAGCGGCCTCCCTCTAATCATGAGGGGAGACGACTCAACCACTTGATTGCACCCACCATCATCATTAAATCGAAAAAAGAAATAACCAAGATCATTAACCATAGCATCTTTAAGGCCAAACTTTCCCCAAGCATTTTGGACCCAAACACAAAATGGGTCATGGTGGGTATGATGAGAAAATTTCTCCTTAATGAGTCTAATTGGGTCACAATGACACTAGATAGGTCATAATGAGTCTCATTAATTCGTCTAATAGAGGAAGAGCGGGTGGATTACTAATTCTTCAAATTAACATTATACCAACTTCAAGTTACATATACGAAAAAAATTTAACTTTGAGTTTCCAAGTAACATGTTATGTTTAAGGGTTTTTAATTGCAACGGAATAAAACTTGCAAACGTTTTGATGTTCAGACGAAATATTTAAAGTTTCAAAGTCTAATATTTGATACATAAAAATACAAAAAGCTAATGCATAATTAAATAAGTCGGTACTATCGTACCACCGGGGTATGCGACTTTCAATATCATATACCAATCAAGTTTGTATATTTGATATGGTACTTCCACACAATTATAATTGATATCAATTAAATTTATAGAGAGAGGTTAAAATACAACCTTTGACATTCTTACACCCAATACAACCATCATCTCTTCCATCCAATTTTTAATCTAAGGTCAAGATGCATTTTTTTTAAAGGAAACCAGGCAAATTGATAAAACCAGAAAAAGAAATACAGAGTTTAAGCGTACGACCATACCCAACAATCCTGAAACACAAAAGACTTGGTCATCACACCATACCAAGCCACAACAAGCCAAAAGGTACAAACCCAACAGACTCAACCAAGCTACAAAAAATAAAGAAAATGAGCTTAAACCTCAAAAAAACCCCTATACCAAGACCCCATCAAATGTAAACCATCATTCCGCACAACCCGTCTCTCCAGCCAAGCCACACGAATGGAAATTGTACTATTGATTTCTTTGATAAGTTGAACAGCTGTGTGGCGATTCTCTGTAAAAAGTCTTCTGTTTCGCTCCTGCCAAATATAATAAACAGAAGCCGCCAGCGAAAGCTTCTGCTTTAAACGTTTTGGAAGTCGGCTCGAGTCTGAAATAGCTTCCAAGATATGATCCCACGAGGATGACATATTCATCCAGTCCACAACATGTAAGATGCCCAAACTCCTCGAGAAAAGGAACACTGGAAAAATAGATGGGAATGGCTATCCATACAATTGCCATAGAGCGAGCATTCCAAGTCTGATGGTTCATCCTTCCAAATCATTCGGTTTTGGGTAGGAAGACGCCGTTGACAAGCAAGCCATAGATAGAAAGCATATCTTTGGGAATGTTCCTCCAACTTCACAACCCCTGTGGTACCCAAAATCAGCAGCTTCCCAGATACATTGCTTAAGGAGCATAGAGAATCTCTCCATCACGATCATAAATAGATATGGGGATAGCGGATCTCCTTGCCTCAGTCCCCTTCCTCCATAAAAAAACCCATAAGTATTACCATTAATCGCAAGTGAATAGGAAGTAGTAGACATCATCTCCCTTATCCACTTGACCATAACCGGATGGAAACCCATACCCTGCAGCATAATAAGTAGGAATCACCAATCCACCGTATCATAAGCTTTTTTTGATGTCAATCTTAAACGTACATCTCGGTGGACCTGCCCTAGAATGGTAGCCTGACACTAGCTCGTGAGCCATAAGAATGTTATCCGTAATCCTCTGACCCGGAATAAAAGCCGATTGGGCCCCATAAATTAAAGAATCCAAATAACCCTTTATTCTGTTTACAATGACTTTACTTATGCATTTGTAAAGCACCGTACAGCAAGCTATAGGTCGGTAATCCGAAAGCCTTAGAAGCATTAACAGATTTAGGGATAAGACAAATAAGCGTATGATTCAATTCTTTTGGGAGGTTACCTCGATAGAAGAAGTTGTGAATAGCAATCTCCACATCGCGACCGACGATATCCCATGAAGCTTTGAAAAACTGAGACGAAAAACCATAAGATCCTGAGGCTTTATGATTCCCAATATTGAACATAGCATTTTTAATTTCATCATTCGAGATAGGCCGGATCATATGGTTGGCTTCCGATAGAGAGTTTTTTGTAAAAAGATCTTCAGACATAACCGGAACAGAGGAATCATCCCTCATACCAAGAAAACCTTTAAAGTATTCCACAAACACATTAGGGACATCATCCCCATAAACATAGTCACCACGGCTAGAACAGTCAGATTGAATGAAGTTAGAATGATGTCGCTCTTTGATCACCTTATGGAAGAATTTAGTGTTCATATCTCCTTCATTCAGCCATTTGACTTTGGCTCTCTGTTTTGCGGTACATTCCTCATCCTAGCAAGTCTTGTGATGAGTAATACGAAGGTGCCCAAGTTCAAGACCTAAATCCGTATCAGAGGGATCGCTGTCCACTTCCATCTGAATCCGATCTAACTCTGTTTTCAAGAAAGACACCCGCACCCCGAGGTTGCCATAGGAATTTTGGAGCTTTCGTAGAGGAGTTTTGAGGGCCTTCAGGTGAGAAGTCACCCGAAACATAAAGGTCCCCTCTACATGCTTTAGACCATTCATCCTTTACAACCTGCAAAAAAGACGGGTGCTCCACCAAGACATTATCAAATTTGAAGCCATAACTCATTTTCCGTGTTCCTCCTTTGAAGGACAAACTACCGGAGAATGATCTGAAAGCCCAGAAGGAAAGAAATGAACATTAGCATCATGGAATTTAAAAGTAAATTCAGAATTAGCCATAACCCTGTCAAGTTTGCGCCTGATTCCCCCCTCTTCATTCAGCTTTTGGTTCCATGAGAAATGGACGCCTGTATAATGCAAATCAAAGACTTCAATATCCTTCACACAAGCAAAAAAAACCGACATATCCGTATTACGGCGGGAGGACCCTCCAAAACCGTCATGGGGAAATAACATGGCATTAAAGTCACCCATAACTATCCAAGGTTTAGATCCAATCAAAACTTTAAATTTTCGAAGCCCCGACCATAATTCTTTCCTAGCATTGCAAACATTTTCTCCATAGACAAAAGAAAAAAGTTAGGTTCTTGCCCACCTCTTAAATTTAATTTGCAGTTCAAGAATTGACTATGAACCCCCAGAATCATAACATCTAGAACCCGTAAATCCCATGCGAGGATTAGCCGAGTTCCAGAATCACAAGCCACTTGGTTAGAGATCCAAGACCAACGACCAAAAGTGTTATATCAGACGTTTTCAAGGGAATCCTTGGAAACGTGAGACTCTATAATAGCACATAAACCAAGATCATTACAGCGAATAAAACTTTTCACCTCCTTATGCTTTATCGGAGAATTAAGTCCCCAGATATTCCAAGAAGCGAATTTCAACATGAGGAGGAATTTTGATCTATCCCTTGGTCCCTACTATCCACATTCGAAGTACTCGCATCAAGGTCTTTGTCTAAACCCTCTTGAGCTTCCTCCCCTCCCAAATTCTCTAAAACACCGAATCTATTAGAAGCCGCCATGGAATCTATCATAACTCCTCTCCTAGGCAATCGAAAGGATTTTACAACAGAAGCAAGAAGAGGGGTATTTTTCGCAATAGAATGGGAAAAAGAAAACCCAGAACCAACCCCAACTAAACCCTTACCTGACCCTTTCGAGGTGGCTTTCACAATATGTCCGGATTGGCCAGATGTTTCTTCAACTGTAGTATCCTTATTCCGCTCCCTATTCTGCTCCACCGTCTGTTCTCTCTGCGATGTGCTTGCTTCCAAGTTTACCGGATTAGGTCCAGACTTCACATTCGAATTTCTATGCCGTGGGACCAAGGGTTGGGAATTACCACTAGATTTGACTCGCCATTGTTTTTTCTCCACTCTAATAAACCCCCTCTGAATCTTTTCTCCCGCCACCTTGCTTTCCTTTGTTCATATGAGCGGCCTTTACACACGATGATAATTTATGTCCAAAAACATGGCAGTGGGAACAAGCAGATTAAGGTCTGCTCAAAAAACTGG